CTGTGGCGGGCCACAGCATCAACCTGTTCCGCATTGTGCCTCCGGCGCCGGGGGCGGAGGGGGCAGAAGGGCTGGGCGGCGGTACGGGGCATGCGGTGTATGTGTACCGCCTGTACCGCGGCGTCACGCCCGCCGCCATCAGGGACATTGCCATCGCGCCCGATGCTGCCTGGGTGGCGGCCAGCAGCGGGCGCGGCACCACGCACCTCTTCCACACCCCCGCCGCCGCCGGCTGCCTGGCCCCGGGAGCGGCGGCGGGGGTGTGGAAGAGGTGCGTGGTGCCGCGCCCGCTGCTGGCCGCCACCCAGGCAGCATCGGGCGCGATGGCAATGTCCCTGATGGCGGCGGGCGTGACGCCGCGGTACAGGCGGTACACATACACCGCATGCCCCGTACCGCCGCCCAGCCCTTCTGCCCCCTCCGCCCCCGGCGCCGGAGGCACAATGCGGAACAGGTTGATGCTGTGGCCCGCCACAGAGGCGGTGGCCAGCAGCGTGCCGGACGGGCTGAAGCGCAGGGCTGCCAGGGGGGAGGTGTGGGCGCGGAAGTGAGCCACCACCAGGCGGCTGGCAGCGTCGCGCACCACCACCGTGCCCGCCACCGCGGCGTCGGCCTGCAGGAGGCGGGGAGGAGCAACGGCCGGGGGAGGGAGGCGGCCAGTCGGGGCAGCGTCAGCAGGTATGCGGGACGGCAGGCTGTGGAGGGGAACAGGGGGCACGCTCCCCACGAGGCGCCTGGCAGGCCGGCTGAGCCCTGCCAGCTGGCACGCTGGGCCAGCACAGCAGGCGTGCAAGCGTGCGGGCGTGTGTGTGTGGGCCTCACCTCCTGCGCATCCACATCCCGCTGCTGCTGCTGCCCCTGGCGCCAGGTCTGGTACTGGCCGGACAGATACTTGAAGCTGGCGCTGCCCACGGCGCTGATCCCCGCCTTGAGCTGCTGCCCGCCGCGCGCCGCCGCCTGCAACACAGCGCCATGCGAGGGAGGGAGGCCGAGCCGTCAGGGCCGAGCCCGGAGGGAGATGCGGCTTGCGGCTGGGGCAAGGGGCAGGCGCCGGGCCGCCCTTGATCGCGGCAGCAGAGCACATCTCTGCAGCAGCAGCAGCAGCACATGTCGGCAGCAGGCACGGCACAGCCACAGCGCACGGCGTGCCTGCAGCGCCGCATCAGCCACCGCAGCCTTGGTGAGGCCGTTGGCACGGGCGGCGGCACTCGGGCTGCTGCCCAGCTGCGCGCCCTCGCCATCCAGCGCCCCGCTGGCGCTCCTTCCGCCGCCGCCGCTGGAGCCGGCGCTGTCGCGGCGCGCCAGAGGCAGGCGCTGCGCCACGGCCTGGCCGCTGGCCTGAGGCACAGGCGTGTCTGCTGCATAGGCCAGCCAGCGGGGGCCCAGCGCAAAGGGCGCCAGGCCTGCTGCCGCGGCCGCCTGGGCCGCACCGGCGCGCGGCGACCCTGCTGCCGCCGCCTGCTGGTGGTGCTGGTGCTGCGAGCCGTCGCTGGCGGCGCTGCTGACGAGGCCGTCTGTCACAAACTGCTGCTGCCGCTGCTGCCGGCTGCGGGTGCCAGAGCTGGCCTGGGCCAGCGGCAGCGGCGCCGGCGGCGTGTAGGTCAGGCAGCTGAATGTGTGGTGCAGGGTGCAGGCGTCAAAGGCCTGCAGCTGGCCTCGCAGCGCCACCACCACCACCCGGCCACTGGCCTGCACCGCCAGCACCTCCCCGCCAAAGCTGAGGGTGCGCACGTAGCCGTGGGAGCGCAGGCTGTACAGCAGCAGGCTATGCTGCTGCTGCGGCGGCGGCTGCTTCTGGCCGGACCCGCCAGCTGCCGCAGGCAGCGAGGCGGGCGTCTCAGGCGCGGGCACCACCGCCAGCAGCGGGCGGTCGCCTCGCAGCGCATCCTCTGCCGCTGAGCAGTCGCTGGGGCGGGGCTCGGGCAGGGCCTCCAGCAGCCTGCGCGCCAGGGAGAGTGCAGGGCAGGGAACGTGAGGGTGCGGGACAGCCCGAGCGCACAGCAGGAAGGCATCGCAGGTGCCGGCACGGCAGGTGCCGCCGCCAGCACGCGCTCACTTGGCGGGCCCGTCGCGGCGGGAGACCAGCTCGGCGGGATTGGCGCCATCCAGCCGCCACACCTGGCAGCGGCGGCAGGGTGCGCGTCAGCAGCTAGCCGCGGCCGGGCACGTCATGAAACAACACAGCTGCACATGTGCGGTCGCGGGCGAAGCGCCCACCATGCCAGGCAGCGCCCCCACACACGCCAGCCGGCCCTTCCCTCACCTGAAATCCGGTGGCCAGACCGATCAGCAGCACCGGCAGCCGCTCGCCGCCGGCGCCGCAGCTCAGCCCCGCGGCGCCAGCACCCAGCTCCAGGTGAGCAAACTTGAGGAAGCGGACGGGCTCCTTGTCGCTGGTGTCTGTGGTGAGTGCGCTGACGCCCTTAGCCACCAGGCGCGACCCGGCCACGATTCCACTGCCGATCGCATACACAGACCGCCCCGCCAGCCGCTTGGCGGCGTCGGTGTACGAGCCGGCGCTGGCGCTGCCCATGGCGTGGCCCGGCTGCTGGGCGGGCCGTGAGAAGGCAGACAGAGGGGTGGCTGGGCGCGGTCAAGCAGCTGCTGCCAACCTGCCGCCGCCGCCGCTGGTCTTCCACCGCTGCCAAGGCACCAGCGCTGCCCGCTCCTTCCTCCGGCTGCTTGCGAGGGTGGCGAGCCTGCGCTGCGCGGCCGAGCCAACCACGCCGGAGCCGCTTCTGGTGGTGTCGGTGAGGGTGACGAGGGTGACAAGGGTGCACTGCCGGATGGCGAGACCGCCCGCCCTGGACCACCGCAGCGCGCTGTGAGGCCAGCTACACTGTCCCTGCAGCCGGGAGGGCCGACGGAAACCCCAGCCCGAGGGGGCTCAGCCAAGCCGGGCCGGTTGGCGGTTGGCGCCCA